TGATCCGATTGTTTTTTTTATAATTATAATATGTGATTTTTTAGATTAATCTCAAATACCTACCCATTATGTACTAGTAATATATTTTTAAACGATCTTGCTAACGAGCGCCCCGGAGCGTTAGATAAGGATAAATTATATTGGTTAAAATGGTATTAAGTTAGGAATTCATGACAAAATCACGCGTCGTTCGGTGTAATTAATATTAATTTTACTCTAATATTTGTACTTTAATTCTCTTATCTAACGCTCCGGGGGCGCTTATTAGCTTTTGCCATTTAAAAGGTAGCTACTTCATTTTTTTTAGTGATTAATAATGCATGTCTAAGTTATATTTCACTTCGTAACATGTTTTTAAAATAAAAAAATTAAAATTAAAATTAAAAAAAAATTGGCAGAGAGAGATAACAAAGCTAGGATGAAAACCATAATAGGTAAATGACTAAATATAGATGTAGTAATTTGTAATTGTATTTTGCTAATGTCATACATCTATTGCCCCATTGGCTATTGGTTAAGTTAACGGAGGTAGTATATATCTTTAATAGTGTGAGTGTATGACCTGCTTTAAAGAATACTATGTATACGCGTATCTAAGCTAATTTATCCTCATATAATAATTGTTTCATAACTATACTCTTCTTTTTCTCTCCAAGGTTTTCAATATGTCTAGCTAAACTGCTAAATTGATATAAAGAAGGAATCAATTGTCTTGCATAATCCAATTAATCGGCTCATATAGCATAATCCAATTAATTGGCTCATATAATTAATCGGCTTGCATAAATTTTAGGAGATCAATTGTTCTTTGATTTTCTTTTCAAATTTCCATATGAACCAACAAATTCACTATTCCATAAAAGCATGCATATTGCTGTTGTTAAAAAAAAAAAAAAAAAAAAAAAAAAAAAAAAAAAAAAAAAAAAAAAAAACATGCATATTCATTGTGATTTGTCAGAATGTTAGAACTTATATGAAACCAACAAATTTATTTTTCCAAATCACTCTTTTGGTGAGATAGTTATAGAGTTGAGTAACATGTTAGTAGTTTAAGTGCAATAGATTTTAGAAGAAATATTTGATGTATGTGGCTGATACCTTCTTTAGTTATATTAGTGGTTGCAATCTAATGTTGGTGCAAGGCTTATTACAAATTACAACCATAAATCACAACGCTTTTTGTTTTGTTTTTTGTATTATTTTTCTTTTTCTTTCTTTTTTTTTTCCCTGAGAAAGTTTATGGACAAATGATGACAAGCAACTTGTTTGGTGTTGGAAACAATCGAATGTCATTTTCTAGTCTGGTGATTAAAAAAATTTGAGAGGCACCTTGGCCCCCTTATATGAAGTTATGATCAATATTCAGCATATCAAAATATAAAAGGAAAAATAAATTCACTTAATTTCAGTTCAATTTAGGGTCTGTTCTCTTACGTTGAAATTTAGTTCAGCTCAGCTTCTAATTTTCTTCTCTTATAAAATATTCAGTTAAGTTAAGTTCAGTTCAGTTCAGCTCAGTTCAGTCAATGAGAACAGGCCCTTAGTTCAGCTTCAATCACGTTAGGGCCTGTTCTCATTGATTGAACTCAGCTGAACTGAACTGAACTAAATATTTTATAAGAGAAGGAAATTAGAAGCTGAACTGAACTGAACTGAACTGAATTGAACTGAGCTGAACTGATCTGATCTGAATTTCAACGTAAGAGAACAGGCCCTTAGATTTACTTTAGTTCACTTCTTAATTTTCTTTTCTCATAAATAATTTATTTCAATTCAGTTCAGCTCCAATCAGTTCAGTTAAGCTCAGCTCCATTCAGAACAGACCCTAAATAAGACCTCGTTAAACAACATTTTTATCAAACTCCAACATTCAAAGTCCAAAATAATTAATAATACTCCCTCTATTCTTTAATGATCGTCTCTTATGGGAAATTTTCACGAAAATTAATAAACATAAATAAGTAATAAAAGTACATTCAAAAGGTAACTTTACATAGGGTATGTAAAAGAGTAGGGAAAGAAAGTACGAGTAATAAAAATACACGAAAAAACAAAATTTACATGAAAAAGCTAAATTTGTACAAATATTATTGCAAATTAGAGATAATTTTGGTATATATATATATATATATATATATATATATATATATATATATATATATATATATATATATATATATATATATATATATATATATATATAGTTGTTGGAAAAGGTAAATGGAATAAACATTATGGGACTAAAATTTGGTCAAAAGGGACTACCAGAAGGAAGGGAGTAATAAATATGAAGTGCTTCTTGTGTTAAATGAAAATTGATAAAGGTTTTTTTTTTTTTTTTTTTTCTTCCTTGTATTGCAAATCAAGCTAAGCTTCGTCAATGTACAAAATTAATGATACTTTAAGGGAAAGAGTTCATACAAGATGAACTCTAAACAACGTGTCCCATCTAGTCACAAGATGGGCAACGATATTGTTGCCTTTCTTAACTTGAGAAATATTAATGATGTTAAAAGAATATAACAGCCTTCTAATATTAACATAAATTAAAAAGTCAGGAACACAACCAACAATTGGACTATCATAGCAACTTGAAGGTCTTGAACCACTCCAAGTGCATCCGATCATCCATGGATACTTGGATAGTCATGTCTACGTTTTCTCTGATCTAAGCTAAACTTTAATAGCCACAATAACCAAGATGTGACATATATCACATTTTTATACAACAACATAAATACATAATACATACTTGTGTAACAACCGTAACAATAACATGGACTACATTTGATCTATGGATTAATCACGTCTACCTTTTCATATAGTCTAGGAAAGTAATTAATATCTTATTTCAAATTTTAAAATCCCTCTTAAAGGTGTTCTCTGTGATTTGCTTTATTAACCTAATGTCTTTAATGCTTAGATACATGTCATTTTAACTTAAATAAATGAGAGTCGCAATATGTATCATATTGAGAATCTTATTGATGAGTTGATGATTGTGTATTAGCCTATTAGGCTATTAGTTTAGATGTATTTTTTCTCAAAGTCGACCTCAAAAGAACCTGCTTAAAACCATCATTTAGCAAGCTAGCATGTTGGGCTATGTTTGGCATATTCTACTTTCAAGGGATTCACTCATCTCATTATTACTCATATAGTCTTACTCTCTTCGTCCTATTTTTATTTGAACATATTCTTTGTATTATTATACCAAGCTAATACACAGTCATCAACTCAATGTTTCTACATCTAATAACACGATGTTTAGCTTAGACTAAAGATTTAGGTCCCGATCTCTTTACCTTATTTTTGTTGAAGTGAAATTATTTTTACCGAAACAAATTACTACGTATTTGCTGAACTTAAATTATTTTACTGAACTTAATTTAATTTTACTGAAATGAAATTATTTTTGCTGAACTGAAATATTTTTACGGATTTTCTGTTATAATTCTTCTTTAAGAAAATTGAATTTTACTAAACTGAACTTATTTTTACTGAACTTAAATTATTTTTACTTAACTGAAATTAATTTTACAAAACTGAACTTATTGATACTGAACTGAAATTATTTTTATTTAATATTATTTTTTTTTAAAGTGAAGAGAACAGTTGAATTAAAACACATCAAAAGAACTTTCATTAAAATAAATTAAAAAATTGCTTAAACACCAAGAGCATTGCACAACCAGCAATACAAACTTTATACTGGTAATTGCTCAACTACAATAAGACAAAAACTAATTCAGCATATAATTGACACAATTAACTAGTTTATAATGTGAAAGCAAAATTCATGAATAATTTGTCATTGCATGGGAAATTCGAATCTTGATTACCTAGTATTAACATATATAATTGCAAATCAATTGAGGCCTAATTAGTCTTTGTAGAAAGATTCTTCGCCTAATAATATGATGATGTTATTATTATGATTATTAAAAAAATGAAAGCGTGAATAATTATCCTTCCTTTGAATTTGTATTTAATTTTATTTTATAGGAATTTTCATACTTAAACATATTTCCCTTTTGAATAGAGGCAAAGGAAGATAACCAATAAGTAATTGTAGTTGACCCATCAAGGTGGACGGTGGTTGTTGGCGTGCTGATGATTCTTATTGCAACTTTTTGTTATATGGACAACTAAGGGCCCGTTCACATTTATTGAATTGAGTTGAACTAAATTGAACTGAACTGATTGGAGCTGAGCTGAACTGAACTAAACAGAGCTGAAATTAATATTTTATGAGTGGGGAAAATTAAGAGTTGAACTGAAGTGAAATTAAGTAAATGTGAACAGACCCTAAAGCATGCATAATGTTAATTCAATGTTTCTTAGTATGAATTACATAAAATATTTACGAGGTTAAAACGTATTTTTTAAAAAGTGTTTTTATCTTTTGATTTAATGATTCAAACTAATTTTTGTTGACTATTATTTTTGTGAGTGGCAGTGATTAGAAGTTGTTTAATAAAATTAAGATTTGATCATAGTCAATAACTATTCAATAAGTGATAGATAGTATAAAAAAAATTGAAATATATAAAAATCGAAATAATCTGATACCTTACATTAAAATCTCTAGTTTCAATAGAAATTAAAATCTCATACTTCATATTTCACAACAACAATAAATAAGTCTTATATACATTTTTTTTCCATACTTCCTCGCTTTATATTGTTCCCCTATTTAAATCTTTTGGTAAGACAGTACAAGGTTGGTGTTAGACCGAGAAGAATTGAACCATATAAAATGGAAGGAGTATAAATATATTTGTGATAAAATAGATTATCAGGAGATTGAGATTTGCAGCAAAAATAAACAGAGAAAAATAGAAATAGATTTATACAAAATCGAACTTTTTACACTACGGTGTATTTTGTATGTATAAATGTATAATATACATTCATATGCAAAAAAAAAAAAAAAAAAAAAAAAAAAAAAAAAAAAAAAAAATAATAATAATAATAATAATAATTAAAAAAAAAAAAAAAGACGAGTCAAGGAATCTCAAATTACACAAAACTTGATCAAACAAATCGAATAGAATAAAGGTATAGATACATGTGAATAATCAAGACGATGATTAAGATCATATAATTACATGAAAGTAAGTTGTAACATACGTAATTTATAATCAATGTTTTTGGGTAGATTTTTGGTACTTGTCTTTGATCCAATTGAAACCCATTGAAGTACCCTGCTTGACCTTCTTAAAACCCGTTGAAGCAACTTCCTTAGTCTTATTAAGCCCTTCTTCGACCTTCTTCTTTGCTCCTCCTGATCCGTCGTTGTTGTTGTTCTTCTTCTTAGTCGTTTTTCCATCGTACTCGTGGCTACCATAAGCTGGTTGCGGATCCCATTGATCCGCCCACGACGTCTCATAACTAGAGTTCCCTGCCATTCTTTACAAAATTTATGATGTTACGAAAATAATGATGTGTTAAAAGGAGGATAGGATAAATAGGAGTTGTTTGTTGGTAAAAATTTGGTGTGTTCAAAGAAATTATGACACTTTTCTAAGCATGGTTTGAGAATTCAATGAGATTGGTATTTATATATATGGTGCAAATGTGGAATATTTCAACCGTGTTGAATGCCTTGCTTGGACCGCCGTTATACTTTACTTCGTATATTGTATTTCTACAATTAGTTAATATCGGTTATAGGAAACAAACCTAGCACCTTCCAACTTGCAGAAAATATTGCGTGGACCTGATTCATAATAATATTATTGTGAACCTAAGGTTTATGCACATGTAACTGACATTATAATCAACATAGTGACCCCTAATTTTAATATAGTAGCCTTATTTTTAACATAGTAACCTAATTTTAAAACTTGTGTGACCGTTAATATTATTATGAAGTTAAATTACGAAATTATGTTGAATAGTGACCTAATTTTAACGTAGTGATCTTTATTATTTATGACCATTATATTAAAATTTTCATTAGAAAAATAACTTCTTATAGCCTTTAATGTCACACTAACTCTTATTTCAACCTAATAAGCTTTATTTTAATATAGTGATCCTTTTTTATTAATAAAATAATCATATTGTCTCTAATGTTGGTGGTCTTTAATAAATTAGTGTGAAACAAGTCCATTTAAGAATTTGTATCCAACTTGATATTATTTTCTTTTCGATATTAATTATTATATCCCGTACCCCTGACATGTATATCGAATAGCTGTCATATTGACATAAAAATTGAGATTCGGCACGAGTGGATTATGATGTAGCGCGTAGGAGATGTCTACTAGAAGAGTAGAAGTTAGACCGACTAATGTGAACCTTCTGATTGCATGAAAGGTTTCTCGGAAGCTGCTTTCCTTTTTTGTCAACTTTTTCAATGTTATTTCTAATATTGGCCATATGATCAGGGTTTGTACGTAATCAATTACAAATACGGCCTTACATAATATTGGTCATTTACAAATTTTGTATGCGGCTCGCCACGTGACGACAGGGGTTACTTGTAGAATGTTATTGGTTTTGTCATGAGTTACTTGTAGGTGTTACTTGTATTCTGGGGTTACTTGTATGGGTGTTACTGGTTTTGGTCAAGGGTTACTTGTAAGGTGTACTAGTTTGGTATGGGGTTTGATCTGGAGTTACTTGTAGGAGTTACTCAGAATACAAGTAACCCATATAAGTAATCCCACGATACAAATAATCCATACAGGTAACCTCATAATACAAGTAACACCCTACAAGTAACCCCAGAATACAAGTAACTTTAAAATACAAATAACACCCTACAGGTAACCCCTATCGCACCATGTATGCGGCTAACCTCTGTTGATCATTATGATATAATTTGCTTTTTGCCAAACTTGACTAATATTTTTCTGAATTGAATTGAAAAATATGTGGAGCTTGATGTTAGAGAAATTGGTAAATCTAGAAGCTGTTGGTCCAGGTTTAGAAGTAGATGTACAAGTCCACCTACGGCAACTAAACAGCCAAAAGTCCTTAAAAAAAAAAAGTCAAAATAAAATGGCGTATAACTACACTCTAGAGATCTCTAGAAGCTTCACCCTGCATTACCTGCCCATCAAGGGCATCAACACATCGAAAAAAAATAAACCTTATCAGATTAATATCTGTTTTTTTTTATCTTTTCTTTTCTAATTAATTTTAAACTTAATTCAAACATTTATGACATACTCCGTAGAAAAATTGATAATTATCTTTATTTGATTAAACATTTTTGGACAAGGGAGTAATATTGACGTTAGAATGTTGGACAATAACGGACATAATTGTAACATTGATAAAAATTAACACAATATGAACCGCATAAAAAAAAAAGTAAAAAGAAAAAATAATGTTAATCAAACAAGTCATCACGATACGATACAAACGGTCACCATAATACATCTAATTAAGGAATTGATGATACTCTTTCATTGTATTCATTGTATCATATTGTTCTTCTTACTTGAAATATTTTTACGAGACAAAGTTAGTCAAAGTAGGAACATCAATATAAAAAGGAGAGAGTATATCTTATGAATGATGCATGTTACATTGCTACTGAATCCAACAATAATTTCGTAACCCAAATGGACCGAAATCTGTTAATTTTGGCGATGATTGAAGAAAACGACACCTTGAAAGTTGAACTTAACCTATTCGTGCAATCCACATGTTAGCTCAGGTGCATGTGCTCAGTTGCACTGATCAATTTTCTGTCAAAAATTCACCACAGCAACCAATGCAAGTTTTAGCTTTAAGTCTTCCTGAGCATTTGAGGTGATCAATAATGGTTCAACCCGTTAACCCCAAAAATCTATTTTGGCTTCACAAGCTCGTTATTTTTGTGGAATTAGTAAATGCAATATTGTTACAAATGCAACTTCTCCCCTAGATAAATATTTAGTCGTCAAAGTTTAATGTTTATTACTAGAAGTAATACGAAATTTTGTATCTATATAAATAACAACATATGATCAAAGAAAAATGAGTGAGTAGTCTAAGATTTCATTCCTTTCACTTAAAAAATACACCAAAAAATAAACAAACATGAAACATCACTACTTTTTAATGTTAAGCTTGTTTGCGAGACATTATTGATAAATACAATTAGGGTCTATTCTCTTCAGCTTATTTTCAGTTCAGTTCAGTTCTTAATATCCTTTTCTCATAAAATATTCAATTTAGTTCAGTGCAGTTCAGTTCCAATAAGTTCAGTTCAGTTCAGTTCAGCTCAGTTCAGTCATCAAAACAGGCCCGTAGTTATAAAATGATATATCTATTTTCATACATAAACCGTTATGTCCATGGTAATGAAACTCCATACAAGATGCATATTTTCTTGATTAATTTACTTCATAATTCATGACTCACTAATGGGCTTTTGTCAATAGACTCAAACCTAGCCATCTTTCCACAAAACATCATCAAATGCAATTTGTGTTCAAGTAACATTGTTAATTTTTGTCATGTTGATTGACATTGTAAGCCCACAATGTCTTTGGCCCATTTCAGTAATCACTAAACCAATTAAAGAAAATGGGCCTAACAGTCCAACACACATGAAAAATATCTTTGATCTATCCAACATAATTGTAGTTTTAACTTCATTTTATTCAAATTAATATCATTAAATAATTAAATTAGATTTTTAAATTTTCTTGTTATATCAAGTTGTAACTTGTAAGTTAGGAGATTATAAGTTAATTCAATTTTCAAACTATATTGATTACTCTAGGTGTTTCTTTCATTCTATGCATGGGCTAATAACAAATGAAGATTGAGAATTATTTATTCTCCTTATACATATCCTATTATTATAGGTGGTATAGGTTGAACAAACTCTTTAGAGATTTAAAATCTCAAGCTATTGACTAATTTAAATGAGTTTACTATAATCTAAATTATCTAAATAATACTTGTTTGACTTGACTTGGTTTATTTACATCCACATATATTGGAATCTCTTGTGAACAATGGTCGACCTTGATTATAAATATATTCAGTTTGGTCTATCATTACATGAATCTTCTTTCATAAACCCAAGTATATCCACTCCTAAATTTACATGTATCTTGCATTTTATAAAATAAAGTCATTAATTAAAACTATGGAGGAAAAAAAAATGACATAAAAGTATGATAAGTTAAGGGTAATAGGTTGATTGTAAAGCTCTTTATTCTTGTTTGATCATATCATCAGCATATTTATACAAGTTCAAACTTTTGTGTAGAAGGGAAACCTATGACATTAAAGAAACTAACTATGCTTCATACAACCACTACTACATATTTTCACACAATTCTATATATGAATTTCACCAAGATATACTATATTTCCATTAACTAGTAGCAAAAAATTTGTATGACAATCAAGTCATGTGACGGTGTGGCTTACTTGATAATTAACATGGTATCAGAGTTAAATTGAAACCTTTAATGACTTGAATATCCTCTACGATAAAGGAATTCACATGGGACTTCATAAAGTTAATACCTTTTCCCATGAAAAGTCACATGTGAGTGTTTTATATTTGCGTTATTTTGACTTTTTAAATATTAGTATGTATAGTTTTTACTGATAGATAACTAAAGATATTAATGGTCAAAGTTATATCTTGACAAATGTGCTAGTTTTAATGATGCATATATGAAAAACGGAAGGAGTATTAAACAGTAAGTGAGAATAAGATGTTAGTTCTCCACTTTCTCTTTCTCTTAATAACGTGTGCAACACCTACACATACATAACATGATATCGAAAGTGCTGTCCATAACTTGATCCTTAGTTTTAAGGTGAAATCTGATTTGATGTACGGTCTCTATTTATACATGTGGCTCTCTTTATAAAAAATGTACCCTCTCCACGACTCCACCCCATAAATTCTTTAGCTTGTGAAACAATGAGTCACCTTGTAATTGCTATTCATTCATGTTCGACCAACCATCACATAATCACATGAATTCCCCTAGAGACCTAGACCTTCATTAACAAACGAGGAGCGTCTTATCAGTTATCATAGACCTATTTCTTCAAAATAATTATTCTCTTAGAATGATTTCATGTTGGATGTCATATTTTTGATGTCATATAACATGATTTGTTCATTCATATATTATAAGATCTCAACTGAAATAATTTGTCTGCGTAAATCCCACCAAATGAATAAAAAAAAAGGTGCAATCCTAAGCAAATTGCACTACGTCTTTTCCATGAATAAAAAGTGGCTGCAACACTCAACCTTCCACTACACCCTAAAGTAGAAACATGCAATTATAGGATGATTTGTGAATAGGAAAGTAATTATTAATTATAATTAGGATTATATCTGAGTATTTTAAGGCGTTAAACAACCTAATACTACCATTTTTGTGGTTTGTTTATAGGTAATACTTAATCAAACATTATTTGACGATCTATTATTAACTTTGGTTTCTAATGGTTCATATGATTTGAGTTTTGTGTGTGTATGTCCATGTGCACCATGCCCACTCCCTAGCCCCCACTCTTGCATAAAAAACAAGCATATAATTCTATTTTCTTGGTCTGTAACATGCATTAACTCAACAATGTTACTCTCAAAA